CTCTCTCTCTCTCTCTCTCTCTCTCTCTCTCTCTCTCTCTCTCTCTCTCTCTCTCAAAATAACAAAATAAGTCCAATTTACCTCCTCAATGTTACTTTCAAATCAGTGCACAACTTGTAATCTTCAATATGAGAGTTGTCAAGTAGTTGCTCCAAAAACTGCAAATCTTCAGCATTTCTAGAAACACCTTCCCCTAATCCAATTGGTGGAGGAAGGCCTCGCGCCAAAGGAAGTAAAGGTACAAGAGCAGCAAAACTATGGGTCACACTCTGTCTGACAGACTGATCACAATCACTCATGCACCTTAGAAGTGGAACCACCAATAGAGGAGCATAAGGGACCAACTCTACACCCAGCCCCTGAACAAGAAAACTAATTAACATGCCTGCTCCTTGTCGAGCATAAACTGATGATGCATCTTCCAACATAGGGATAGCATTTTCAACCACAGCTCCCATAACTTTCACAGTCATTGACTGTGCCATTGAAGTGATGCAGCGTGAAGCAGCTAATCTAACTGCAACATGAGAATGTTGAACACATTTGAAAATGCACGGGAGAAGTGACAACAGTTTTGGCTTCAACTCCTCATTTAACACGGGAGAAACAGAGCGCACCACCTGCAAGAAAACCATGTTGCACATTAAGCAGAATACTATGTGAAATCACTAAAGATTTACAAATTAATTGTGTACTTTAGTGCATGGCTATTTTCTGTGCTCTACATATGGGTATTCTAACTGATGTGCTAGGTTATCAGTTCAGCACCCAGTGCCCAGTCAGAGTTAATTAGCCAACTGCCATTCTGTTAGCTTGCAGCATAAGCTAAGTTTCAGCTTCTAAAAGAAGCTATCTAGTCTTTAGCTTGCAGCAGAAGCTAACAGTTTGAGCTTCTAGTAGAAGTTATCTTGCTGTATATATACAAGATAAATTCTTTTAGTAGAAGCTAACTCTTCATAATCAGAATAAAATTTCATTTTTCAGTTTCATATAATTCTGTTTTATTTTTCTCATCTCCAACTAAATTCTTTACAAATGAGTATGGATGAACTGGAAGAATTTATTGAACCAGTCAATACAAAACCATGTGATCACACCAACAAACAAAGAAAATATTCCCAAATTTGAAACCATTGAACAGCAGTGCAACATAAATCATTAGAAATATATATATATATATATATATATATATAAGAAAGTTACAATACATGCACCCAAAATACTATACTGATATTTTTTCCTGCACTTTTTGTCATAAAGGTATTAATACGAAGAAAAGATCAAAAGATTCATTATAATGAAAATTTCTGGAGAATTTTACAGTGACAAATTTTTTTAATGAATTTATAGCCAATAGTGTAACTATTTTAGTAAATCAACCTCTTAAGGAATCCAAAATAATATCCAAGAAAGAACTTCTACTTAGCAAACAAGTTCAACTAGACATGATTCAAAAGGTTATCGAGACAAGGGTGTAATCATAGTTACAGTTCTTGCATACTTCAAAATGTACACTGTACAGTGCTATCTGTGCATACACACCAAAAGAGAAAACTGAAATACATTCAGCTAAAAGATTCAAATAGTGTTCTACTTGTGCTTATGTACAATCACAATATCAAAACCCAACCATAAAAATGCACATTTGGAGTCTCTTTAGATCTCTATTCATTGATTATCCCAAGGATGCTCAGGCAGACTGGTGTCTAGACATTCAGGGGCACCACGAAAATTCTATATTGTGGTTTCATACTCAACTTAAACACATGCATAAAGAAAATTCAAATACAAAGTATAGGCAGAGATTACATTCCAATTTCAAGAGCTGATTTTTCATAAACCTTTCTCCTATTTAGAAAATCTACAGATCGGGGAGGCTTGTGAAAATTCCGGTAATTCATAGGACTTGGGTCTTATTTTCCAGTGTTCTATCCTACATAACAAAAAATTAAAACAAAACCCAATCCCTCAAAGGGATATCTCTTTGACAATTTCATCCATTATCTTATGATAATGCAGTTTAACTCATACAAGTTCAGTCAGAGCTAATGATGCAAAAGCTTATACATGTAATGAAACAAGTTCGCATGTAGAAATTGATAATACCAACCTGAATATTGTTAATCAAGGTCTGAGGATCACTAACAGACTCAATAGACATAGTAACTTGGTTTTCATTAGTGACATGTAGAGATTCAGACGAGCTGGGCTTAAGCACTTCAGTAAGGCAATCCCACAGCTTAGGAAGCTTATCAAACAATGACGCACCAAACTTTTCACATAGAAGCCTCAATGATAGCTCAGATCCACGTCTACTTAAAAATCCCTCAACCTTTGCCCGATCTTCACCAGCAAGCACATGGACCTTTGACTTCTGTTTGCTCACAGGAGTTTTAAAAGACAGAAGACCTTGGTCATCAATACTCTCCATGGTACAAAGGGATTTGGCTTGAGGGGTCTCAGAGGGATCCATGCAAGTTAAACTACAAATATTCTTAATTAATTTATCATTGGGGCAAGGTCTACGTGCAACACAGTGATACATTAGCTCAGCAAGGGCCTCGGCTGACTTCATTTGCAGTATTTCCTCCTGAAAAATAAGACATTCTATCAAATATCAATACATTAAACATGTAAATAGCACTAGAAAAACAGTAAAAGTTAAACTAGCACCTGCTCTCGTTTGATTGAAGCCATCAAAGGCAAAATGATTGGGTTAAGTCGTGTGGGAAATTCAGACATCCAGACAACTGCAGCTGCAACTGCAGATGTGACTGTAACATGCAAATTACTCTGCAAATCATCCCATGAACCAGAAATAAGCATGTGAAAAATCTATTGAGGACAGCATAAAACAGATGAAATACAAATGATGTAACACCAACCACTTCAAGAAAGTTTGGAATAATAACAAATATAATTTTTTAAAGTATACCTGAACACATTTTAAATATCCAGAAGTTGTCAAGAGTCTCTGTTTGGAGGATTCAATATCATCCATAATGTTTTTTCCCAAGGATTCATTTGAAGAACTATCATTACACAATGCTGGAATTTTTGATGCAAAACCAATGGCATCATCCACACTCAAGCGATCCAACTCAATTTGGGTTGCAGACAATAACTCATTAAACATACCAGAAGACTTGACTGCATTTAGCAATTGACCAGCTTCACTACGCATCTTTGCATAAGTTCTGGAAAGTTCAACATAAGGAAGAAGAGAATCTTTTGTTGGTAATGCTGGGTCAGAACATGCTAATAAGTCCAGCAACCAATCTTTGAGGGCACCGGGGATACCATCAAGGTTTTTGGACGAATTCCTGTTCTTAATCTCCTTAAACCAAGAAACAAGTACCATCGATGCAACCTGAATACAATAGACAATATTAAAGCAGGAAAAGGCTGAAGATTGTTTGGATGTAGGTTCATTGTACATGAACACATACCTGGCGTTGGACACCAGACAACGAGGTTAGAGAGCTCCACAGTGGATCAATCACATATTTTAAGGAACCCTCTGGCAGCTTAGAAACAAAAATTCCCAAAGCAGTTGCAGTAACTACCCGGGTATGAGTTACAGATGTGTCCACATCAGCACCAACAACTATCTTAACAGAACTCATAGGAACATCTCCATTTCTATCTTGTGGAACAGTTCCTTTTGTAGATTCAAAACTAAAATCCAAACCACATTCATTTTCAATCTTGGCAGCTCTCATTTTAGCAGCTGCTCTAATTTGACTTTTTCGTGGAAAAGCAGCTGGCCAATACATCTTTGAGGCATCTAATGTTGAGCCAAATGGTGTTGATGCAAGTTCTATCCAATAAGCTGCATAAGACCTTGCAGCCATCTCCAAGTCCTCCACAGAACACTGCCATCAATTAGGCAGACAACTTGATGGATGAGAAAATAGAAAAATATAAACATAAATTTTAATCATCCAACACCACAAGAGGAAGATCAAAACAACCACATTTTAGGGTCCAGGGATTAGGGAAGAGTTGAGAAGATCCTTCAGAAGAAAAAAAATGAACCCTCATGGACACTTACAACACCACAAGAAAAACAATGATTGGTTAGTCATAAAGCAGTGGGAAGATAGAATTGAAAAAGGAAAAAAAAAAAATCAAACTTCAACTCAATATTTAGATGTGAAAATTACACACACACAAACATAAATAATTAAATAAATAACCCAAGTTATATATATTGTCATCTACTCTACAAACATATCATGTGCATTTCTACAAGCTTCACCAATTCGAGTGATCAGCTAATACACATATGTACAAAGCCTCTCTTAGAGGTCCAGGATTAGCTACAGTTCTAACAAACAATGTACATATGATTTACATGATCCAGCTTGAAAGGGATAGTTATAATAATAGCTAAATAGTATAATATCACTAAGTTGCTAAAACCAACATAAATACCAACTGGTTTTAGTAACGCAATCCACAACTGGCCCAACAATATTCTGATAACAACTACCATTCTAAGAGAGGAAAACATGAATATTATATTATTGATGGAATCTTGATTTGTTAAATTTGTAACAATGTGCATACATGTAATTTTAGATCATATGTTAATATAGTACAGTACATTATTTCTGTAGCTATTAAAACTAATATCTTGACAATCAACAAATAAAGTCCTGACAATATGTTTATCTCTGCATCACATGAGCTGAAAGCCTGTGAAACACCGAGAAATAAATCTTGTTTAGGGCTCTATACAACATCAAATATAGTCCCTAAGATTTTGTTTTTTAAGCCATAATATAGACTGGAACAAGACAAGTAGAGAGTTGAAGTACAGGTTGCTTTGACTGACATGAAAATTATAATGAATGACATTTAATCAAAAATAACCCTCTTATCAGATGATATACCTGAACAAGGAGACTCCAAACTCTCTCAGAACATTGCAAAATATCCTCATTTGTTTCCAATAGCAGATTCTGGAAGACAACTCTAAGGGTATCTCCAAATATAAAAGAGGGCCAGAATGAAGCACTAGACAACTCAGACAAGCTTCTTTTATATCCAGCTTCAAGTAGCCTCTCCTGAAAATGGAAAATTTATGTTGAGACATTACCAAGGCATGTACCACCTTTCGTGAAAAAGAAACCACATGATAAATACATCACAAGGAGCATTAGATGAGATTCAATTCATCAAACATCAAGGAATAAGGATAAATACCAAAGTCCGGATTGCAGAATAACGAACAGATGTGATACTGTGCCTCATAAAGGGCCACAAACGCGGCGCCAATGCTGTAAGCACATAAGGATCTTCTTCTCCATCATCATCGCCACAACCACCTACTCCATTTTCCATTTCCTTGTCACCCAATTTAAAAACTTTATACATCTTTGGAGCCATCTCTTCTTGAGAATAGATTTCAGCCAGCAGATTCATTACACTGCAAACGGATAACTAACATATTTATACTAATATAACATTGCAAAACTTCGGTTGGTGCCTTTGGTCTCTACAAGATAAACTATACCCCAAGACCTAGAATTGGTGGAAAATTGTTTGAAATTATAAAACCCATACATTCTCTGAATAACCTCTAAACTAAAAGTATGTTTCTGTCTTTATGCAAGTACTAAGATTCAGCTACTTCAAAGAATTCATTACAAAATATGGCCAGATCATCCTACTATTATAAAGCATAAGAATTCATCACACTTAATCAGCAAAGCTAAGTGATCAGTTTAGTCAAAGATGATTAAAAAAAAATGAATCTAACGAGCAAGCAGGAATTTATAATTTTAGTAAACAAGTTTCTCTATCATTTAATTTTCACCATTAAAAACGGGAGAGAAATTAAAAATATAAAAATATATAAAAATAAATAAATAAATAAAAGAAGAAGAAGAAGATATTATAATCCTAGTAAAATACAAATATCGGATAAGGAAGGTGCTAGCTTAGAATCTTGAAATTCTCATGTTTTTAGTTTAGTTTCTTGGATTAAATGTAATGAAGTCCATATATAGGAGTAGCTATCTTCCTTTTCTAATTATCTGATTAAGAAATAACTTTTCTCAGTCTCTTTGTTTCAAATCTTTTTAGTTTTCAAGAGGCTCTACATAATTGATGGAGCATTGAAAAGTAATCATATTAACATGTTCTCTATCATCATTGTTTCTACATTAAAGGGAGTATAATAATGTAAGTAAGGTTGTAAAGGAAACTAACTACAAAAAGGTTTAGTAAGATACCTGCTAGTTGATGGACTTAAATCATCCAAGTCAAGCAATATATCCCATAAAAGCATCACAATTGAATGTAATGTTTGACCCTGCAAGGAAACAATTGCAGCTGCTGCTGGTATTAAAGCATCAGCAGCAACTGCTCGGACATCATCATCTGGGTCCTCCAACCCAGATTTACAAGCAGGAAGAACACGTCCAAGCAAATGAGAAAGCATCTCCTAGGGTCAGTAAAAGGCACATCAGATGCCAGAACAAAATAAAAATGTTTTGAATTTAAAGTAAAAATAAAATAGACAAAGAAGCAGCACACCAGTTAGGAAAAGACTAAGTTTTCATAAATGAAACTACACCCTACACCAACTATCTTTAGTCTCGGTTTTGTAATGCCTACTACTGCCCATCATCCTCTGTACTTGGAAAAGCACCAAATAAGAATCAAATGGACTCTGATCTGAAGAGGAGTTTCTTGCAGTGGGGCATGCAGTTTATTTCTTGTATACTTTTTTTTTTGAACGGCAAATGTTGGTAATTAGTGGACTATGTTAGCTGGGGGAATTCAAACCCACTCCCTCCTTCCTTATCACTCCAACCCCATGTCCCTCCCCTCTCCCACACCACCTAGACCATCTTATAACTCCCTATTTCCTGTATACATAACAGGGCAAGAACTAACCACTATCAAAAATTGAAAATGATTACAGTATAATCTTTTTAGCTGTTACCTACCCTATACTTAATGTAGGGAATTTTTATTAGGAGTTTAGATCATTGAAATGTTTTACGCACTCCTCCACTCTCCAGAACTTACAACTACTGAACTGAGAAGGGGATCTTTGCCCCACTGTTTACATTCTGTGGATTCTATTAACATCCTTCTGAGAGTTTGTGTCAAAACCATTAAATTCAGTCATCACATACTGATGGGAATACATTAAACAGCTACAACACTGTTGGCAATATGACCCAGGGATGCCAAAACAAGCTAGTTATTTTCCTATTTCCAATTCAACACCAACCAATATCCTGCCAGGCCAGCCCATATCCTGTCCATTTCATATTATTCATAAGGACATAGAGAATTCATTTTCTAAAAGCCAAAAAGGATTTATTCAACAATCATTCACATGCAACACTACCCATATTAAAAAAAACTGCTATTAGTCATATAAATATAAATAACAATACATCAAGCTACCCGAGCAAAAAAAATTAAAAAAAAAAGCATATAGAGTTTCTATTTGGTAAAAGACTAGAGATCCGGAAACTGCTAACTCGTAAGCTCATGACCAAGAATTATGGTAATATTTGTATTCTAGTAATCAACTCAAAAATATCATCAATATTTCAAATTTTTTTCTTAGTTATGGGAAATTCATAATAACATACCCAAAAAAACAAATATTGGGCTAGAATAATTAGGAAGTCATTAATTTTCATTTTGTGAACTTTTACTTTTAAAAAAATATTTACAGACACCAATAAGATGTAAATAAGTTTTCAATCAATGGATCAGGGATGGGAATAAAACAAGTACCAGGAAGACCCAGGATGGCCTTGCACTACTTCCTTTTTATAAAACCACAAGAAACACAAAGTTTACAGAAAAGAAGAGAGAGAAAAAAAACAGTAAATAATTTTGGACAATATGGTAAGACACAGAATTTTGTAAAAATAATTACTGAACATATAAAATCTAACAGACTGCATAAACCAGTAAAAAAAAGTTGTAGTCAACATCTCATGCATATGATAAAATATCATAAATAGACAGAACAATGGCTATTCAGAGTGTGTAAAACCCATAAGATAAGTGGAGGCAAATAGATATGCACCTGCCGAACAGCAACCAAATATTTGATACCAAGAAGACTGCCATGACGAATCTCCCATTCTGGCCTACACTGAACAAAAGGCAACAACAGAAGCATAAAGATTAAAAACCAATGAGTCAGAGAACTTGAACAAAACCCATGAGAAAAGGAAATTGCTCCATGGGATGTAAAAAGACAGAAAATCTTAAAAGTAGTGCATCTTAAAGCAATGTACATTACATTTATTAAAACTTTAAAAGTTAAGGAATTGCAGTATTAAATGATGTTTACCTGCATTTTCAACAATATGTTCAATGTTTCATTTACTAGTGCTGGATGCATATACTTAAATGCAGCACCTAATGCCTGTGCACAGGTTTCGCGCACTGGAGCAACAACCTGATCAGATACATAATCTCCAAAGCTGAAATAAAATAACCAAAAAATATCAAGAGACTTGCAGAAAAAATGACAGCTTTGAGGTCTCAATTGGACAATTAGCCATTAATAAGAGAAGACAGAAGCGCCAAATTTTGCCAGTCATTTACATAGAGCAAAGTTCAGCTGGATCTAGTTCATTTATTAAAAGATATAAAAGAACAAAAATATCATACCGATCAAGTGACAGCACACACAAAAAGCGTATCACACAGTCTTGAAGGAAATAAACAGTTTCGAAGCCAGGAACTTCTAGCCACTTTAACCGAGTTCATCAGCTCACAATTCTGAGGAAGATTTCGCAGCACATTAAGGTTTCCAGAGGGACTATTGTCATCAGAATGACCCTTCTGCTCTGCTATATTAGCAGGCTCCTTGCATGCATCATGTAAGCCATCGGAGTAAGATTCCAGATACTTGTCAGCAGAATTACCATTATATTGCCCATTCCCATAATCCAAATTTAAATTGCATCCATGGGTTTCAGAACTAATGCTGATTTCAATATCACCTTCATTGCTGCAAGTCATCACACTATCAATAGAGGTCGATGATGATACATCTTCAAGTTTGGGCCTCTTCAAGTTTAAAACAAATTCATCTGCTGAAACTTGCATATTTAAATCAATGTCCCTCTCTCTCTTCAATATATTTGGTATACTTTTGTCTTCTAATTCAATAAACAAGGTCCCAGACATGCGTGAGTCATGTTTAAATACACCAGCAGAAGCACCTTGATGAGTTAATATCTCTCTCAATGCCATCACGCTGCCATGTCGTATCTCCCAAACTAGCAACAACATTTGATAAATAATCACCCAAAGAAAAATAAGTAAAATGAATGTAAAAACGCACTAGTCAATATATATCCCACATTTTCTTCAAAATTGTACAAAGTGTGACAGCAGGGGTGAAATGCTTACCAGGATCGAACATATCAATAATAAGTTGCTCAACAAAAGCGTGGAAAGGCCATTGTCCATCCCCATCATGCTCAAAGCCATCTTCGTCATGATTAACATCCACAAATGCCTAAACAAAATGATGCATTGAAATAATTCCAAATTATGTCTTGTGATTGATCATCAATGGAAAATGTATCAATTTGCATGTAAAAAACTTTGAGGTTAAAATAGCATTTTCATAGACAAACGACAAATGAAATACGTTCAATCATTTCCAAATTTGCATCATACAAAAAAATATGATAGAATAGCACCACCCACAGCAATAATAAGAACAACAAACAACAATGATTGATAATTATAATTAAATAATCAAAAATTAATTTCTACCAGCAACAACTATAAGAGTGTCATGGAAATTATAGGATTTTATTTTATAGTTAGGGTATTTTATTAGGGTGAGAAAATAAAGCCTAGATGTGTTTTTTGGTAGCCTTGGATTTATTTTTGGACTTGGCAATGTTTAGGCCCAAGTGGAGGGCACCTAGGTTGCATGGTCTTATCATGCACCTAGATGCAGCTTAACCAAACCCAAAGATTCCATCCTTGGCCATCAAGTAGCATCTAGGGTTAATTTAGATTTCATTTGAAGTGCATTTGGCTTGCATTTTTCAGCTAAGCACTCTCAAATGTAACCCTAAATGCATCTTCCCTTCTATAAATACCCTAGGCTAGCAACCTTGTAATACTTTGGAATTTATGATATTAAGAGAGCCTTTGTGCCTTAATATTCTTTTCTTAGTCCCCTTGGTCATTTCGGCCACCTATTCTCCTCATCTTCACCGTGAGTGTTCTCACCTTTAAGAGTGGCCTTCATAACCCTAGAAATGTGTGATGGCTAGGTCATCATTGGGTGATTATTTCCACCTCAAAATGAGAAGGAAATGCACCATAAATGAGACCCAAATGCAACCCTACATGTGTCGCACATGTTTAGGTCAATATGGCATCTTTTTGGATTAAGTTAAGCTACAATTAGGTGCATGATAGGAATACACAACCTAGTTGCCCTCCCACTTGGGCCAATGCTCCACTTAGCCCAAAAGACCCTCTCATGTTCACGCCCCACTTACAGTACTCTAGGATTCGAAGCCCTAAATTCTAAATACCCAACAATATAAGGGCAAAATAGGAAATACAAAGAAAAATAAATCCTAACTTTTAAATACCTCAAAATACAAGGGTGAAATGGGAAATACAAATAAATCCTATGTCTAAAGTACCCAAAATACAAGGGTAAAATAGTAAATTAACAACAAGGGTATGTGAATAACCAATTTTATCCGTGTTCTTACCGGAGATCTGCTGTAGAGATGATCCGCCAAGTAAGGTCGGCGAGCCTCCTTCGCTGGTACGTTGATGCCTCCAAGATGGGGGTGATACCTACAAAAGAGACTCCGATGCTAAAGTTAGGGTTTGTATGAGTATGAATCTCCTATAAATAATGCACGTACCTTAGCATGAATTAGGGTTGCGTTGGGCCTTGGGCCCGAGATTAGTGGTGATCTGATTAAGTAGAGGATCTCGTCTGGACCGAGATTTCCTAAGATCGGTTATGATCTATTTAAGTGTCGAGCTGACGTCGCGCAGCGTGTGCCTGAGGTCAGCTCGTGCTGTGGTACTGAGGTCGGAGCCCGGCTTTACAGTACGGATAGTACACTAGCCCCCCAAGCTCCGAAGACCATAGGTCGAGGAGTTAAGACCGAGCTCGTTGGGGGGAAGTGACCTTTCACGTGTGCTGGCCTATCAAGGTGCCGTGTGTTGTAACTGTCACTTCTTGAAAGCGTGCAGGCGGTGCGTGAGAGATGGTGACGGTTATGTAATTATAATTGGTGCTTATCATAATGGGGGTCCTTAAATGTGTTGCTAGTCGTGCCCCCCTGGATGACACGTGTTGTGGCCGTTTGGATTTTGGAAAAACCCTTTTCCTCTCATTCGCGCCTCCTCCCCTTTCACTTTACTCATTTTTTCTCTTTCACCTTCTCACACACGCCTTCCTTCTTGCTTCTGTTTGTTTTTTATCTTCGCTTTTCTACTTCCGTCGCCATTCCTGGCCACTGGGTTTTGCTCCCTCCTTATCGCTCTTTCTTTTGTTGAAAGGGGTACCAGGTACTTCGACTTCCTCTGTTCTCTCTTTCTTCTCCACCTTTTCTCCTTCGAGTCTTTCTTGCTTTCTCTATGGCTGGGGGGAGTGGTGCTGGGTCCTCCGTGCCTGTCAAGGGCAAGGCGCGTGGCAAGGCGGCGGTTGCTGGGGCATCCACTGCCGAAAAGAAGGATCTGCCCAAGGACCTTGTTCCGGGCATCCCTGGCTACGATTGGGTCAGGCGTGAGATGGCGGGGGTCCAAAGCATTTTCTGGTCTTTTCTTGAGGTTAATCGGATCTGAAGATCGTGTAGG